TAACTTCTTACTGGAAAAACCTATCTTCTTAAAGCAAAACTAAAAATTCACCTGGTAATCAATATAGCTAATTAAATAGTTTATTACGTTGTTACTTAGAAAGATTAGAATGTATTTTTCATCAGCTACATACCGTAGCTATTAATGATATTCTCGTGGACTGCCCATGAAATTAATTTCATCACATATAAATATCTATGAACAGTAAATGGCTAGATATTAATTTGTCTAAAGAAACGTTTTTAATTGAATGATAACTTGGTAAGCTCTACAAGTATGAACATAGTACTCGCCCTCCCGTGTTGTTGGCAAATTAAATTAATAGCAACATCATTTACACGTGAGATATTTGAATGGAATAGTATGTGAGATTTATATTAAATGTAAAGAAAATAAGTAATGTATAAATCTCAGTTGAAATATAATTTTTTTGAGTAATGATAAAATATCTTGTGTGCAAATCCATCAACAGCACTAGAAAATAAACATATTACACAGAACCAATGAAGATGTTGAATGGTATGTTTAGAATGTTTCATTAGACTGTGAAGAATGTATCTCATGGTATACTTTCTTATAAAATGACATAATGCATAAATATGTTAATTATAAGAGAATTGATAAACTTTTAAGAACAAACGTTAATTTAAGTTCAGTGTATTTCAGGAATGTTTGTTTCTTCTTCGTCTTTCAGATGGATAATAAGAAATGAAGCTGGTGCACTAACACTGTCTTTAGCTATTGACCCATGCAGTAAACCAACTTTTGGTTGTGGAACAGATGATGGATAAAGGACCAGGAAAATCATGAGCTCGCATAAAACAGTTACATGGATTTGAGTAAAAATCGGGTATAAAAGACATATCTGATCCGATATTAGCTTAATTTGACTGAACTGTAATTGAAAAACAACAATGAATAAAAACCTTCTTAAAAGCCTACTATTCACTAAAGACAAATAGCACCAATATTGGTTTTCAAGTTAGATTGCTAAATGAATTCATATGATATATAACATGTATTCTGGCAAAATGTGATATATATAAATCAGCAGTTTGTGTGATACTACATCACAAAAAAGGGGGATAATTTTTAAGAAATCTGTCTTTTATGAGTCCTATAATTTTTTTCCAGTAAGAATAATATAGTAGTATTTCAACGACATACTTGCATACCCATCTGACCAGATGTATTCTAGTATTGTGTGAAAGGACTCATCACCAGGGGTTAATATAACACATACACACACAGTGAAGTATGCATGTTTACAAATCATAGTACATTTTCATAAAATTGAAATTATGTTGTTGAAAATTGTAACCAAACAAAAGTAGCAATATCTTATCAAAACTTTTAAAGGTATTAAAACAGCCAAGTTAGAATAATAGTCAGCCATATATACAATGTAGATATGACATAAAAAAAAGACCACATCATATGAAAGGGTAAATCCTGTAAAGATGCAATGTAAAAGAGAGAAAGTTAAACAAGAAAACAAAAAAAGAAATGAGGAATACTTCTAAACCTCCTTTTTTTATTGTAAATGGTACAAGCAGCAATACCACTATATATTTTGGACCATATTTCTTTTCTGGTTATGATTTGTAACTTCTGAGATTAATTTGACATTGTGCCATCAGGAAGATAGATTCATCCACTGATATATATATATATATATATATAGATATAAATAGAGGTTACTGCATTTACCAAACTAATATCTGTGAGAGGATTTCTTTGGTTTCTACTTTTGAAAATTTTTATTTTAATTGTATAAAAGCTTATTAGAGAAATACATTATGGTTTGTAGATGAAAAAATGAATCAATTTATTACAATGCTAGAAATATTCAGAGTATTACACAATAAAAACATTTTAGTTCAAGATTGACGTACAGTCTCAAACATTTATTGTATAAGACAAAAAGCTTAATTTTCTTTATGAGTTGGTTTTTGGTGGGATCCTTTATACAAATTGCAAAAGTAACAGAATATTATGGAACAAAAAATATAGATTAACTCCAATATTTCTTAATGCTCTGAATATAAAAGTCAGCTTTAAAGTTAATCAAATTATCATACATTTACTCTTCATAAATACAAAAACAATAAAGTGAATTATCTGCCATATATTTAGCATTAACATGACATGCATGGTTTATTATGTGACCTACTATTATAACCTATGATTGAATTTTAACCTTTTTTTTTGTACAACATATAATGACTACTGATTTTATATGATGTTTCATTTTGTATAGAAATATTAATTTGTAGTATTTCCATTATACTTCACTGAATCTGTATTTTCCCTTTTAGAAGAATTAATAAAGCAATTCAAAGAATTATCATAGTGGAATATGTAGTAAATATATAATTCCATTATTATTATATAAAAACATAATCACGTGCAAACAAACATATGCAACTGCTATCCATGGGCAACAAACACACCTATGTTCCCACTTCCTTTTTTTTTATGTAGTTTTTTTCTCTAAATTATTGATTATTTCCCACTGCCATGATGGTAAAATCTGGTCCTGGATATCTAACATTATTTTGTTCTAATCACTTCATCCCTTTATTCTTTTGTTAGATGATATTTTCTGCTCACAAGGATATTTCAGTATGTGTCTTCAGTCTGGGTTAAACTAGTTAAAACTGGAATATCTTTTGCTGGCCAAACTGTGATGCCCACTGAATCTGATAGCTGACCAATTCTGTCATGAAGCCAGAGGTCACGAGGTGACTCGACTCACTGGACAAAGAAAGTGAGGTGATGTGTGAAATTCTGGCACACTTTCTTTATCCAGTTCTCTTCTAGTTTCTTTCCAATGAATATACACTTTTCTACTGCTCATGTTTGGTGTCTTAAATCTCGAGAGGAGAAAAACTTTGACATAAACATTAACTAGGAAGGAGTAAGGGCTGCCTGCTGTCATCTGTGGGTACACTTACTAGGATTTCCTTTTTTCATTTGAATAAAGATTTTGTTTCTTTGTCAAAAACTAGTTCAGCCTATTTATCGTTACATTGAAAAGAAAACTCAGTCGAAATATCTCAGTCGCAAGAACTCGTAAATTTCTGGGAAGAACTTTGCTGTCATTGCAGAAAATTCCATTCAACGCTTGTCGGAAAATCAGTTTTTAACTGAAAATGCTAAACCTGTATAACATGGCTGATAAGGTAACGTGTCTCGAAAATATCACAATTGTGCAAAAAAAAGTATTAATGCAATACTGACATTTATTGCATTCAATTTAAAATTAACTTAACACTAAAAAATTAATCATTTAGGCACGCAATATACTTTGAAAGGAAATATTAGCATTTTGTGAATTAATTTCAAATTTCTCACCATAATTATACCATATTTTTACTCAAAACTTTCCAATAAAGATAATCCTCTGCTTCTTAAGCACATTCTAAATAAGATATACACGTTTGGCTGGCATAGCCTGGTGGATAGGACACTCAACTCTCAATCTGAGGGTCGCGGGCGTCGACTCCCGTATCCGAATATGCTCACCTTTTCACTCGTGTGGAATTATAGTGTAACCATCAATCTCAATATTTGTTGGTAAAGAGTTGGCAGTGGGTGATGCTGACCAGCTGCCTTCCTCCTAACATATCACTTTAAAATTAGAAATGGTTAGTGCAGGTAGTCATATAGTAACTTTTTGCTAAATTCTAACAATACTTACACATTTCTAAACTTTCTAAAGTAATGCTTATATTTGTTATTGGCATTTAATGTCTGTGAATAGTAACTTATAAACAATATGACTTTGGAAAAGACAAAATATTGAGCTGAAATTTAAAGGGAAAACAAGATTACAAAAAAGTGTGCAAATTTACTTAGAGTTCGTATTTGAAGTTAAATGAAAATAAAAATGTCATACAATGGTTGAAAATTTATTGCATCATCCAATTTTTTTACACTTCAGAATTGTCGTTTGTTTTAAGGCCTTAATGCATGTAGGTGCAAACGTGTTTCATGGATGATGCAATACTGACAAATTATTACATCAGCAGATTTATAGTTTATCTGGGTATTGCATCAACTGTTTTTTGGCTATAAATAGAGAATGTTACTGGGAGACAGTTCAGAAGCCTATCTGCTACAACAAGCGTGATGCTAACATGTCTAAGGCTTAACTCCACAGAAAAAGCAGTCACTGTTTCTTTCAGTATAGACGGACTTTTAACAAAACAAGTTCTTAGAAGAATTACATTTAATCAGTCTAGTAAGTGCAGCGATATAGAGAGATTGGCTCTGTGAAGTGGTACAAAGAAAGTTTTTATAGCAGCTGATGATCATGTTCTGAAATGCGTGAACTTCCAGATTCGCCGACTGCCGTCCATATATCTCAACTGAACATGGCAGGAAGCTTCACTGTGTAAACTGTACAGTTTTCCATGAGTTCAGTCGGTATCCCAGCAAAACTGCCAAGAAAGGAGCTCCTCCTCACCAACAAAATGAAGAAGTTGATTCTCAATTGGACCAAAAAACATGCTGACTGGACTAAATCAATGTAGAGCAAAATAAACTTGTCAGATGAATCAAAGCTCAATCTGCACAGGTTTGATAGAAAGCACTTTGTATGATTTTGATGTGGAGAAGAGTTTAATCCAGTATGTTTGAATGCAACTGTGAAGCATCTGCAGGGTCAAATGATATGAGAATGTATCTCTGGCGAGGGTGTGGGATGCCAACATGTACATCAAGATCCTTGAGACCATGTTAAATCCAACAATTCGGTATCACTTCAGTGGGGTCGACCAGTGCACATACCAGGGTGACTTTGCTCCATGACACAGGGATAAAAAGGTTGGTGATATTCAAGCAATCTATACAGTAGACGTGAAATAGAGGAAATTTCACTCTACATGTATTGAAAAGACACATCAGGTATTATATCATTGTTCCAGGTGAAGGGCTATTTTTGAAAGGAGAGTACCAAGACACTACACTGGCCAGAGAACAGCCGAAATTCTCAATTCTGTCAAAAACTGCTGGAAGGGAGTGGGTAACAAAGTGCAAGCGAAGAACCTGAAAAAACATTGGAACTGCAGGAAGCGCTAATCCACATATTACATCACGCACCCACTCCTGCCTACATTTAATCCTTCGTGCACTCTATGCCTGTGTGATGTAAAGCAGTTATCAAAGACAGAGAGGGTACAACAAAATATTAAAAAAAAGAAACAGACTCTGTGACCACTTTTTTCACTATCTTTAAGTCTAGGCTTTCTTACTCAGATAAAACGTTCACATTTTCCAAATATTTGTTGATCATGTGTTGTAATACATCTGTCATGATTGATTTGTTAATAAAGATGTATATATGTCTTTGAAGATAGAAATATGAGACAGATTACACCACATAATGTCCACAACTATTTTACACTAGTTCTGACACTTCTGCAATGCAGAATCTTGTAGAAAATTATAAGAACCAAGAAAAATGGTAATGCAATAACCACTGAGATAAAAACACTTTACTAAAACTGTATGAACACACAATCAAACAAATGGATATGCTGAAATATACACATTGTTTTAAGTTGTAATTTAAAAGTTAGCTAAAGGGAGTTGTGGGTCTTAATAGTAATGTTCTAAGGATGTGATGTAAAGTCTAGTTCTAAGAACGTAACTTAAATTTCTATAGTTGATTCGAAAGTATGTTATATTTATCAGATAGTCAAGGGAGTGTGGCGATTTTTCAAGATAGTGGAGTAACTCAACCAAGGCAAAAAAAAGTAATTTAATATCTTTATTTTTACCAGATAATATAAAATAACCCAACAAAAAACAACAATGTAACAAAACTTTAGATGAAAGTGAAAAATGAAATAGAACTTTGACTAAATTCATCTGATAAAATTATGATCATGAAGTCAAAGAATAAGAGCAAACCATTACTTGAGATGATGAAATTATTAAGATAAGATCAAGAATAAATATTCCTAAAATTAAAAGAGGGCACAGAAGAAAGAGATAGAAAAATAAAAGAAGGCCACGAGAAGCAAGAGAGAAAATTAAACGAAGACCAAGAAGAAAGGGACAGAAAATTAGAACAACATGACATAAATTTTTATAGAAGCATTAAAAAAGAGACATATTACTTTAGGCAGAATTAAAATAGAACATAAATTTGATTGAAGAGAACATTGTTAAAACTCTTAGAGATGTACAGAAGGATTACGACAATAAGATTGAAGAAGTATGAAGATGCTGCAATTAAAATGAACTACAACTAGACTATAATGACAAAATCTATGAAGTTAAAAGTGAAGTACAAAATGACATGAATAAATTAAAAATGACATCAACGAGGTATAAAACAAAGCAGAAAAAAGCACCGGTGAGGTTGAAATGAACACCAGGGATAGAATAAAACATCTGGAAAATGTATTATTA